ATATTCAGCGGGACATTAAAATTTAGCGAAAATCGTCAAAAACCCTGGCGGTGGCTGGCAACTTTTTTTTAAAACGCTGGCAGGGAAAGAGTTAATAAACATATAGTTGAGCCACGGTAGTCACTTGGGATATTTAAACATTTTCTTCATTGACTTTCTGGGCCGTCAAGAGGCAGTCCCTTAGGCAGCCAATGTGGTAGTTATACAGCTCTTAAATTTAATCAAAAATATCTTCATTTGTGTTCCGAAGACGAACGAAGGTCTTACGGGGTTGGTACAGCATGGGGGTGAGTAATTAATGACTTAATTTTCATTTTTGGGTGAACTAACCCTTTAACTATTGGATATTTAGCCATTTCATTTTTTTTTAAGACATTTTCAAAATGTCCACAATGTATTTGTTAATGTATGTTTGTTGTTTATTTTGTTGTTGTTCAGATGTGGGTCATAAAATAAATTATAATTAGAAGTGGATGTTTGTTATTTCTGTGTTTTGTCTCAAAATAAGAAACACCTACAGTGACCCGTTGGCTCTTCTACCTGTTCTTTACATAGGTAGCCCACATTGTGATATGTTGTCCGATTTAGAGCACTGGTAATCCGGATTTGGCAATCTTGAAAATTGTGTATCTGGATCCAGGTGGTCCAGTCCAATGTTGCTTTGAAAAACCGGCATAAAAGAAAGACGGATTACCTGATCCAGGATAGGAAAAAATGGGATTTCCAAATTCGGATCAAGATTAAATGTTTTGAACAACTGGCCCCACCTGGTCCGTGTAACGCTTCACAATTCAATTTTTGGACCATACAATGCAAATGAAAAAATGAAAAATAGAAACCAGACATTCATTTTTCTTGTTTTTCCAGTTACATTATCAATGGATAGTTGCCTTTTTCTCCCTTTTTTTTCAATTTTACTCGTGCTAAATTGTGACTTCAGACACAAACATTTGAATAAATGAAATCTAACTTATTTTCTAATTAGGGCCCAAGCCCTGAAAGAGCACAGAGCCCTATTGTTTTCCTTGGGATTATTTTTCTTTTTTTTAGGGCCAAAGCCCTGAAAGGGCGAAGGCCCTATTGTTTTCCTTGGGGTTATTCTTTTCTATTATTATTATTTTTCTTACGACTATTCAGGCACTTTTGGGGCTCTTAACATGCTCAAAAACTCTTGAAACTTTGCACACAGGTCAGAACCCTCTCGAACGGTTTGGCCGTGGCGAGGAAACGAAATTATGGCGAAAAAACGTGAAACAGGAAGTGTGTCATAACTTCTTTATACATTAACTGATCTTGATGAAACTTCAGCAGTGTATTCATTGTAAGAGGACGATCACATGAATGTGACTATTGTGAGTCAAAGTTATAGCGCACCAACTGGCAGCAGGAAGTGTGTCACTTTCAAAATGCTTTGAAATCACCCTCTTATTTTAACTCGATTTGCTTCAAACTTCGTCTGTATAATGTAAATACACAGCAGATGAAGACCTGTGAATGGATTCTTGATATCTTTGAAACTGTTGCCGTGGCGACGCATCAAACTTTACCATTTTTACCATCTTTACCAAACTTTACTTTTAGGATGCTTTTGAGACTCTTAGCATGCTTGAAATTGCATGAAACTCGACAGACACATCACATTTATTAGCCAGTAGACATGTGCAACGTTTCAGAAACGGGCGTGGTGAGGGCTCAGTAGCGCCACCTTTTGACAAAAGTGGAGTTTTTAGTTTTATCTACAGTTACAAAAAAGTGGTATGTATATTGTACTCCTCGAGCCGGACAACTTTTTAATTTACACTCATACACAGAAAGTCAGATATGTTTGTTTGAATGTTGAGAACATCTCAGAATTTGGCCAGTCTCTCAGTGTCCCTCTGTGTGAGTGAGAGGAGGGGCGCCTGACAGGTTAATTTTAACCCTTTATTTGCTGTGTGCAACTTCTCTGGCATTTTCGGGGGCCTTAACATCCTCGAAAACTCTTGAAACTTTGCACACGGGTCAGAACCCATGGCCCTCAGGGCCGGGCTGAAGCTGGACAGCCCTTGACAGCGCCCCCAGACTGGGATTCGAACATTTGTCCATAAATCGAGAATTAATATGAAACTCGGTACACTTATAGATCACATAAGGCCAAAAAACGTTCATGCTCTAAGTTTTACGACAGTTCAAATGGAAGTTGGGAATTGAATATATGTCCTAGGAGAAATACATCAAATTACAACGCATGTGTTTACCAATCACAACCAAACTCGGTGTGCATGAAGTCAAGACATTGAGGATGCTCAATTCCGGACGGATTTTTGATATCTCGAACTGTTTGGCTGTGGTGAGGAAATGAATTTTATGACTAAAAAAGGACACATAAAGTGTGTTAGAACTTTGCTCAATTTACCTACAGTTACAAAACTTTCCACGTATATTGTTCTCGTCAAGCCGATCAACTTTCCAATTTAAAGTCATTCGCTCTGAGCAACAGAAAGTCAGATATTGTAGTTTGAATGAATTTATTTCCCCTGCAATTCTCTCTCTCTCTCTCTCTCTCTCTCTCTCTCTCTCTCTCTCTCTCTCTCTCTCTCTCTCTCTCTCTCTCTCTCTCTCTCTCTCTCTCTCTCTCTCTCTCTCTCTCTCTCTCTCTCTCTCTCTCTCTCTCTCTCTCTCTGTGTGTGTCTGTGTGGGGAGGGGAGGGCTGTTCTCTGTGTTTATGTGTGTCTGGCTGGCTGTGATTTTTCCTACAAAACCTTGTCTCTAAGTCCTTGTCTTTTAGCATAACAATTTTGTATTTTTTTAAATGACAAAATATGCATATAACCCCTATCTTTTAAATGTATAGTTTGATTTAAATAAAAGTAAGATTGTATTTGTAATTGAAGCTGAAGGAATTTAAAATTCATGTGCTATATCCCAATATATTTGTTTTCCTTAAAATTTTAAACACTAACCTCATTCTCAGTCAAAGCGGGGGCTACATTTTTGCATGTCGTTTAGAATAACCCTAAAGGCACCAAGGTGGCGGTATAATTTTAAATATTTGTTGCCAGTAGCCTATCTTACAGCTTTATTTACTGTAAGATAGGCTACTGGCAACAAATATTTATGGAAAATCGCTTGATATTGTCAGAATTTTTTGCAGCAAGGGTTAACAGTGCAGTTATTATCAATAAAAAAAAAACTCACTTCGGGTGAAAAATGTCGTCTTGTGTTCCTTTAAACTTCTTCTCAACGTGCATGCAGTGTAAATAAAGCAGTTGTATCAATGAAATAGTCCACGGCCACACCCCCGAGCTAATGGTACCGCCCACGGCGCAAATTACAAGAAGAAAATTAGAAAAACAGTCATATTTATTTTATTCAAATGTTTGTTTCTGATTGTTTGTTTTCTTTGTCATTAATAATGTTACTGGAAAAACAAGAAAAAATAATGTCTGGTTTCCATTTTTCATTTTTTGCATTGTATGGTCCGAATATAGAAATGTGAAGCATTACACATACCCCAACAGTTCACCTTTTCTATTTGTTTATCTGGCTGTTATAACTCATGTACTGCAGCCAAAAAAAAAATCTAAAGTTAATAAATTAAGGGTCAAGACCCCAACTAAAGCAAACACTGATCACCATAATGGTGACTTAAAATTCCGGTTTTCTCCTTCAGAGATTCTGCTTGTTAACATCAGGTGTCTTCAATAATGCTCAATCATCACTCAATTATTCACTTAATTATCTCATTAACTTTAACACTGCTTCAGTGTTCATTTAACACTCTGCTCAGAGTTTATATAATTCACATTTCTCAGTCTTAAGGCCATTGCACACCGAGTCCGAAATTCGCATCCGAAATTTTCGCACGTAAAAAAAAAAAATTCGACCTCACGTTATGTCAGTCACGCTTGCACACCGCCTCCGAAACTTTCGTCCGTCATAAAATTAATCGGATCGGGTTCGATTTTCTGCGTTTTTCGCATCCAGAGCCAGCATTTTGAGAGGTCTTTTGACAATTCAGGGCCGGGGGAGCTCGTCCTCAAATCATTGCACATATGCGCCGTGCTTTCAGTTTCGGTTTTCAATTCGATCAAGTGTTTATGTTCTCTTCTCTATATTGGATTATGAAATTAATAAACCGCCCCTTTCAATCAGATTGAAATTTAGGATCGAATAAGGTGTGATTCAGCAGCCTATTCGATAATCAATGTATTATTTGGGCACAATACACAATAACAGCCTAGCTGTTCTGTCTGCCCAGCGCTTCCAACGGGCCGCGCGCGGGTGTGTGTTTGTCCGTGTGTGTGTGTCCATACCTGGTCCATTTCAGACACACTGCCAGTCTCCGTTCAGAATCGATTGGTTCACGGAAATTGGTGGTCTTGTTTTCGCTAGCAAAGCATCGAACTGTTCCACTGACATTCTGAGGTAAATTTTGAATCGCTCAGGATAAATTCGCAACTCTGATAACCCATATAGCACTGAACGTCTTGCCGACGTTGGCAATTGGAGGGCACCAGCGGCAAAGTATCGGAGGGGATTTTCCCCTGCACAACAAAAAAACTTTGGTGGGTAAACCATCGGCGGGCCGCGGGATGAATAAGGAACTCTCCTTCCTCTCGGCGCAATTTCAGGATTAGATGGACGTAATATTTTCTCTTTCTTCCCTTTTCAATAAGAGAGAGGGCAAAAATCATCCTCACTGCTTGACGAATCCATTTGGTATTTTTGCGTTTTTTCCCGCAAAGGTTTAAGAAATACGCAACGGACTCGGTGTGCAAGGTTTCTATGCGTGACGAATTTTTAAGCTGACGAACACGAAAATACGCATACGAATATTTCGTGCTCGGTGTGCAATGGCCTTTAATTTAACACTGGGGATTTTGCTGTGAAGTTTGGTCTGTGGGTCCCTCCCTCAAAATTATCTTGTAGATTGTCTCACTAGGAGTGAATAGGGCGGTTAGAATACATTAGAAAACATTCAGGAAATAAGCCAATAGAGACACAGTGTGTTACATTACCAGGTGAGATGGTCACTGGTGTGACAGTTGTAGGGCTGGTGTTAATGCTGCCAGTGTCTGAAAGTTTGGATGAATAATGATTAATCAACAGAAACACAAATATCATGAATCTGTAGAAAGAGCTCATGTAATTATAATTGTTGCAGGGGTCTGACAGATTAGATGTAGTGAAAATATATTAAAGGTCCCCTGACATGAAATGTTCATTTTCTGAGGTTTTTTAATATGAGTTCCCCTAGACTGCATTTGGTCCCCTGGTGTCTAGAATTTTCAAATGGATCCTCCCTCCCTCGGCTGCACCCAGGACTGTCCACCTTGGTCTGACATTTCTCTGTCTGCACCAGTAACTTCCAACCCTTCCGCTGCTACCTGCCCTGAAACTTCCCCCAAAGAGATTGCCTCCTCATTAGTCTTCAGGCATCAGGAGCCGCCTTCCGGAGGGGGTAGTAATGTCATGTTTTGCCTGTTCTTGTTTCGTTTTTAAGGACTTTTAGCATGTTCCTCTTTTGTTTCATGTCTCTTCATCACTAATTTGTCATGGCTATTCATTGTTTCATTAATTAGAGCATGAATAAAAGTGTTTGACTCACCTTGGCAGATGACTCCAGCATCTTCAGTGTGCCCACAGTCGTGTGACCCCCATGCACTTGATGAACAGTTTGCCAATGTAGATTCATTCCCACGGCACTGGATATCATCCAACCATATTTGTCCAGAACCTGGTCCAAAATAAGCAGAAGTCTTTGCCTCTCGAACACTCCCACAGCCCAGTTCTCTACACACCACTGCTGCGTCTGTAGAATCCCACAGATCATCACACACTGTTCCCCATGTTCCATTGTGGAGAACCTCCACTCTTCCAGAACAGAGGTTAGATCCGTTCACCAACTTGACAGCTATTAACCACAAAGCAATATAAAGAGAGAACAACAAGGTCATTAAGGCTGAAACGATTCCTCGAGTTACTCGATTACAAAAATTCCTTGAGGCAAAAAATCTGCCTCGAAGCCTCGTTAAATTCCTATGACGCGCACTTTACGCGCACGCAGGGATCTGATTGTTTCACACGGAACGTTATTCAGGAAGCACACCACAGCGCATGATACATTTGACTTCATAAATGGCAGAGAATGTCTAAAGTTTGGGATCAATATATGTTTATAAAGGGAGAGAACAAGATGCAATGTGTCTGCAAAGTATACCTGGCAGGGCTGCCAACTCTCACGCATTCAGCGTGAGACTCGCGCAATTCGATTTCTCACGCTGAAGTGTCAATCCCTTCGGTCAAATGCCTGAAAGATGAGTTCGTCTATAGATCTACCTGTTGAGCCACTCGTGATCGACTAGTTTTACCACGACATATTAATTCGCAAGTTAAAATATCCAGTAATCTAGTGTTGAGCTCCTAACCGCGGCTCGCGCACGACGGCAGAGAGGTAAGCGAGCGCGTGCATCCATTTCTCTCTCATGCGCCAGTCAGACCAATTGCGGCAATTCATCATATGCTTAAACTTTTATGTAGCCACACAACAAAAATTTCAGCATACATTCACTGTATACACCGGGACGTGATGGAGGAACAAATATTGTGAGACACACACACACACACACACACTCTGATGTTTGTCTTGAGATTACAGTTGAAAAAGTCTGATTCTTATTTATAATTGTTTTATTTCCATTTATTTATTTATTTTATAAATTGTACACATATGTGTACCTGTTTGGGTTGATATTTTATATTAATTTATTTTTGTTTCCAGGTGGGTAATTTGCAGAAGGTGCAATGCTTTTTTTGCAATGTTGTATTAAGAAGACAAAACTAAGGCCAAATGGGCTTTACTATTTAAGTTTGTATTCAAAGTTGTACATGTTATGGGCTACATGTGACAGGTTTTACAGTAAATTGTATTGTTATATAATTGTTGGCACTGGCACTTACAAACACTAAATGGGTAAAAATTGTAATAATTATTTGTGGAGCCAAATGTTGCAGTTGGAATAAATACCTCTATTTTTTTAAAGAAATAAAAGCCAAACACTTTATCATTTTCGTAATACATTCTTTGTTTTGGTTGCTTAAAAACACACATAAACAAATTATCAGATTACTCGATTAATCGATCGATTAAGTGCTAGATTAATCGATTACAAAAAGAATCGATAGCTGCAGCCCTACAGGTCATTAAGTTTTTCGTTTGTTAATTTTTGTTTGTTTTTATCTTTGATGAGATACAAACAAAGTGGTAATAATAGTGGAGTTCACTCCTCCTCAGCATCTTTGACTCCAGTCGTGTTCATTGTCACTGTTGAAGCTGACAAAATGAACAAACACACAAATACACAACAAAGTTATGTTTAGATGAAGATGTTGACATGTCAGATTGATTGCAGTGCTTCATGTTTTTCAGTTCAAATGAACTTTTTAGGCTACTTTACAAGTTTTGTGAAAAGCAGATCTGGTTCTAATGCAAAGTTGTATAATTCCTGTCTGTGGTGCTGCACTAGTTTGTACCTGGCCTATTACAGAAAAAGACAAATGACCAAAGTCTATTACAGTTCCAGAACAGATTTCTTCAAATGCATGGGCTTCCCCACACTGAGAGTGATATTCAAATGGATGGTAAACAAAAATATTTTTTTTATTCTCTAAACCATTCACCTTCAACATGCTAAGAAAGTCGACTGCAAAAATTCCAAGCGTAAAGTGTGTGGAACAAAACTCAATCTCTGACATTGAGACCAGGCCAATTAATTTAGACCATGTCACCAACTGGGCAAAAAAGTTCCAAAGTTCTAAAATAAGCTTAACCTCCTAAGACCTGGTTGTCCACATACCTGGACATCACATCAGAAAGTAAAAGTCCTGCCATATTTTTATTCCACCCACAGCAAAAACTCAAGTGTTAAATGAACTTTAATGGGAGTTTATTTGGATCCAGACTCAGGAGTGTTAAAGTTAATGAGATAATTGAGTGAATAATTGAGTGATGATTGAGCATTATTGAAAACACCAGATATTAACTAGCAGAATCACTGAAGGAGAAAATCTATATTTTTAGTCACCGTTATGGTGATCAGTGTTTGCTTTAGTTGGGCAGGTGACCTTTAAATGCTTTACTAAATATTTTGTTAGGCTTTTTTAACAGCTGGATGAACAAAGAGATCAGATCAGATGTTCTAGATAATGTTCAGACATTAGTGATGGGAAGTCCGGTTCTTTTCCGCGAACCGGTTCTTTCGGACAGTTCGTTTTAATGAACCGGTTCAAAAAACCGGTTCACCAGTTCTTTTACGTCATCACGTAATGACGTCAATTCTATCATCCCGGCGGATAAAAATACTTCAAATTAAAGGGCATTTGTAATCACAACTTCAGTTAAATAATAGTATGCATT